CCCCACAAAAACCATGTGAAGTACACAAATACATGTAGGCAAATATTCCCATGCATGATATATAAATAAATCCTTTTTAAAAAATCATACTCAAAGCATATCATAAGTTTGGCATGGTACTACACATCTGTGATCCCAGTGCCTGGACAGAGGCAGGAGGATTACTACAAATTCTAGGCCAGCCTGGGCCACGTAGACAGCCTCTGTCTGAAAAATTAGTTATCCCCTTATAGATTTTCAGTGGGATCTGTATTAGTTACTCTTTTCATAGCTGTGAGAAAATACCTTACAAAAGCGATTTAAGGAAGGAAAGGCTTACATCATGGTGGGGAAATTATGGTGGCAGGAGCCTGAGGCAGCTGGTCATGTGACGTCCACAGTCAGGAGGCAGAGAGCGATGGATGTGGTGCTCGGCTCACTTTCTCCTTTGTATTCAGTCCAGGACCCCAGCCCACTAATGGTACCACCCACATCCAGCCTTGTCCCACCTCAGCTAACCTTTTCTGGAGATGTTCTCACAGAGGTGTCCAGTCATATGCCTCCAGAATCAGTCAAGTTGATAATGAAATGTGACCACCACAAGCTGTCACCCACAGAAAGGTCTATAACTGCTGTCCTTCCCACAGGGTGTGACCTACTGTGGTGAGAGTGCAGCCAGCAGCCTCACCATGGCCAATGTGCCTTGGCACGAGGAAGTGGTACGCTTTGTCCAGGAGCTGGTGGATCTGCTTCCCGACTATGAAATTGCGTGTGAACACGAGCACTCCAACTGCCTCCTGATTGGACATAAAAAGGTAAGAGGATTCTATCGTGTGTGCGTCTGCCCCCCCCACCCCCTTTCTTCTTTTCCCTTTGTATCTTGCTGTCCCTTGATCAAATGGATGTTAACTTGTTCCTCTGACTTTCCTAAAACGAGAAGACCCTGAACAAAATAGACAGCTCCATCCCACTGTTTGAGTTCCTAAGCTCTTGTTTTAAAGGTTTACTTTTAAGTGTGTGTGTGTGTGTGTGTGTGTGTGATATGCATGTGTGAGTGCAGTGCCCTCAGAGGCCTGAGGAGAATGCCATATCCCCTACAGTGGAGTTTCAGGTGGTTGTGAGTCCCTTCCCTCATCATAGGTGCTGGGAACAGAATCCTTTCTTGAGCCACCTATCTTGGGTCCTCTGTAGGAGCAGTATGTGCTCTTAACTGCTGAGTCATCTCTCCAGTCTCTGATGTCCTTTTAAGTAAAAAATTATCCTATCCAAAAGGAAGATTCCAGTTTGGTAGGTACACTTGTAACACAAGAAGAAAGTCTTAATTAAACCCCCAGTGTAAGGAGCAGTCAGTTTTGGGGTGGTGCAGGCTCTCCGGAATTGTGCAATGGTGTGGTCACTCAACTTCATGACTGCATTAAAAGCCACTGAATTATACAATTAAGTCATCATGTAATAAGAGCAGGCCTTTTACCAGAGAAGTCATAAAGACGGAGTGTAGGATACCTCTCTCCCATAGATTCTTTCAAGCTTTTTGTTTATTTGTTTAGATTTATTTATTTTCACTTGTATTAGTGTTTGCCGAATGTGCTCCTGGTACCTTTGGAGGTCAAAAGAGGGAGCTGGATCCCTGAAACTGGAGTTACTGGTGGTTATGAGCCGCCACATGTGTGCTGGGACCAGGACCCAGGCCTCACACAAGATCAGATAGTGCTCTTAACCTCTGAGCCATCTCTCCAGCTCCCCACATAGATGTTTTGGGAAGTAAATCAGGCTTAATTTAAGCATGAAGAATTCCCTGCTCCCTGATCTCAGTGGCTCTGAACAGTTGCTCAGCTTATTGACACATAGAACTCTGAGTAAAAACTTCACCTGTTCCAGTCTCAATCCTGAGATTGAAGGGCCCTTGTGGTCAGATTGTGAGCCTGTGACCCTTGGTCTGACACAGACTTGGCCATTTAGAAACAGTGCATCCTGGGAGAATAAAGGATCAAAGAAACAAAAACAACCTGCCCTTAGCTCTAAGGAATTACCAAGGTCAGTCCTGAAGATTAAGAGGACAGAGTCTTGGGTGGCCCCGTCCTCCCTCCTCACTGATTATCCAGTGCTTGCCCTTGTCTGGGGTGGCCATGCTGAAGAATATGAAGGAGACAGGTGGAGTGTTTGAGTGGCTAGCACTGCTCTTTCATAGTACCCCACTTCAGTCTCTGGCACACATGGTGGTTTACAACTGCCTTTGATTCCTGTCCAGAGGGATCAGACTCTCTATTCTGTCCTCTGAGGGTACAGACATTCATGCAGCAGAACACCTGTATCCATTTTAAAACAACAACAAAAATAATATGAAGAGGGATGGAAGAGGGCCCCCACCTTCAAGATGCTCTAACAGAAAAAAGACAGCTATTAGTGGCATTGCTTTTAAAAGGTGTGTGTGAGAGAGAGTATATTTATTTATTTGTGTGTGTGTGTGTGTGTGTGTGTGAGAGAGAGAGAGAGAGAGAGAGAGAGAGAGAGAGAGAGAGCATGCATACATCACAGTGCTCAGAAGACAACTTGGGGGATTCATTTCTTCCCTTCTGCCAAGTGTGGCAAGCCCCTAGTCCAAGACATAGTAAAGGGGGAAAATTTGCCCAGCTCCATCATTCAGGGATGTGATAGCGGACTAGGATAGAGCATAGAGGGCCTTCGCAGGGGAGTTGCTGTTTTAACGGGTTCTAAAATGGCCAAGGAAGGAAGGAAGAATTTAGGCAGCCAACAGTCTGAGCAGAGGCCAGAGGAGAGATTCAAGACGGGGGATTCTGGGGGCTGGGTGTCAGGAGGGCACTATACGGAAAGGAGAGTGATGAGGTGGGCCAAATGGAGACAGACTTGAATGCAGTCCTAGTCTCATCCTGTGGGGATGAGGAAGCACTGCCTGAGGGATCTAAGTAGTCAAATGGAGTGGGGTGGGGCTTTAGTCATGAAGCAGCTTGCTGCACAAAGATGAGGCCCTAAGTTCCATCCTCAGAGCCCATGTGAAAACGATGGGCATGGTGGACATGTGCTTGTAATCCCAGTGCTGGGAGGAAGAAGCAGGTAGATCCAAAAGCTCCTTGACCGGCCAGCCTAGCCAACTGGTGAGCTCCAGTTTCTGTAAGAGACTATCAAAGAGTAAGGTAGAGAGTGATGGAGAAGGACAAACAGCATTGCTGTTGCCCCCACCCCCAACACACACACACCTTCACACAAACCAACAAGTACATACCTCACAGAATCAGATCTGAGTTTTAGAAGCACTGAGTTGTAAGACAAGACAGTGCAGAGATGGTAAGTTTGAGAGCCAGGCTGTGGGCAGCTGGCCTGGCACAGTGTCAAATGAGCTGTTTACTTGTGGTGGGTGGTTCAGCACTCAGGGTGCATCACCTACCCACTCCCCCGGCATTTCAGTAGCTGGGGTGAAAGACTATGGTGATGGGACCCTTCACTGGGGTATATTAGTATTTGTTATTTTATTTATGTGCCTGAAGGCACATGGGAAAGAAGTTCCAAGAAGGCACCAGGCAGCACATTCAGCCCTAGCATGATGTTGTACACCTGAGACCTAACTCTTGGTAGGCAGAGGCAGGAGGATCTCTGTGAGTTTGAAGCCAGCCTAGTCTACATAGCAAGTTCCAGCCAGCCAAGGATATGTGGAGAGACCCTGGCTCAAAAACAAAGAGGGAGGAGGGGGTAAGGGTAGAGGGATAGTGATTGACAGGTGGATTGTGTTTAGATGCACAGCAGAGGAAGCCCCACCCACAGGTATTCTCATGACTCAGGAAGAAGCCTCATAGCTCCATCTGCTATGATGCAAGTAAAAGGAACATAACATGGCCAGACTCAGAGCCTATGAGCTCTCTCTCAGTCCAGCAGATATCTAACACCAGGGCCTCTCCTTCTGAAATAGTCTGCTGTGGTGTTCCTCTGAGTTCTGTTCTAATGCATGGTGTCCATGTCTGTGAAGAAAAGTCCAGAAGCTCACACAGAGTAGAATTAAATCCCAGACCATATTATCTCTGGCTCCGTATCTTCTGGTGTGTTTCCTATTCAGGACTGGTGGGTAGGTTCTTATGCACCAGAATGCCCTCTTCACCTCCCCAGCCCCCCTTTCTGGATACCAGTGTGTGGTGAAGGAAGATAAATGTGGGCCAGCTTCCTGTGAAGCAATCTCTTTTGATACTTGTCTCCCTCTGGGCTCACAACGGGATGCATCACCTT